TAAAACACCGAAAGCAATGGCAACAAAAGCCAAAATAGACAAATGGGATCTAATTAAACTAAAGAGCTTCTGCACAGCAAAAGAAACTACCATCAGAGTGAACAGACAACTTACAGAATGGGAGAAAATTTTTGCAATCTACCCATTTGACAAAAGGGCTACTATCCAGAATCTACAAAGAACTTAAATTTACAAGAAAAAAATCAAACACCATCAAAAAGTGGGTAAATGATTTGAACAGACACTTTTCAAAAGAAGACATTTCTGCAGCCAACAGACACATGAAAAAATGCTCACCATCACTGGCCATCAGAGAAATGCAAATCAAAACCACAATGAGATACCATCTCACACCCGTTAGAATAGTGATCATTAAAAGGTCAGGCAACAACAGGTGCTGGAGAGGATGTGGAGAAACAGGAACGCTTTTACACTGTTGGTAGGAGTGTAAACTAGTTCAACCATTGTGGAAGACAGTGTGGTGACTCCTCAAGGATCTAGAACTAGAAATACCATTTGACCCAGCCATCCCATTACTGGGTATATACCCAAAGGATTATAAATCATGCTACTATAAAGACACATGCACACATATGTTTACTGTGGCACTATTCACAATAGCAAAGAACCAACCCAAATGTCCATCAATGATAGAATAGATTAAGAAAATGTGGCACATATACACCATGGAATACTATGCAGCCATAAAAAAGGATGAGTTTCATGTCCTTTGTAGGGACATGGATGAAGCTGGAAACCATCATTCTGAGCAAACTATTGCAAGGACAGAAAACCAAACACTGCATGTTCTCATTCACAGGTGGGAACTGAACAATGAGAACACTTGGACACAGGGCGGAAAACATCACAAACCGGGGTCTGTCGTGGGGTGGGGGGATGGGAGAGGGATAACACTGGGAGAAATACCTAACGTAAATGATGAGTTAATGGGTGCAGCAAACCAGCATGGCACATGTATACATAGGTAACAAACCTGTAAGTTGTGCACATGTACCCTAGAACTTAAAGTATAATTTAAAAAAATTAACATACATATTACAGAATAATCAATTATCTGAATAAAACAATGTTTCATATTACCAAAAAAAAAAAAAAAATACATTGAGCAATGTAAGCCTGAAAGCATTTGCAATCTAAGTTTATTTTAGTCAAAGCAATGATGTAGTACAACAACAACAAAGTCTAATCTCTGCAGAGTATTTTCTGTTTGGGGAAAAATCACAGGAAAAAATATGCAGTAAGAGAGAAAAGGATAATTTTAAATATTCTTTGGGCATTCTAATAGGGCAAAGAAAAATCCAACTGAAAATACTTTTGTTACAGAAAAATTAAGTATACAAAAATTTTAAAAACACTTTTCACTGTGACACTATCATCTTTGAACCAAAAAAGGAATCACTACTGATTACTAATATCCTCAATATAATGTAAACCAATCAAGGAAATTAATCACTTAGGTACTAGGCACAGCCATTCTCTTGGAGACTTTAATCCTAACAGACAAATTACTTAGGAATTATTTACTTCCATTTTAGTTGATAGAAAAAAAAACACAAACCCTTAATTTCTGGTCACTGTTCATCCTTTCTCTCATAAAAGAAGAGGAGGGGCCTAGGCAATAGAAGGCTATCAAAGCTTTCTCAAAAAAGAATGAGACAAAAGGAAACAAGGACAGCAAAGCTATTATATTCAGCAGATAATTCTTCATGTTGACAAGCTATCAATAGTATAAGAGGTGATAAGATCCACTGGCTAAGGAAGCACTGGCTAAGTATTAATCTGGATACATAAAACTTTTTTTTTTAGACATAGCAGATTTGAAGAAATCATATGGCTAGACAAAACAAACTAGATATATCGTGAAGCTAGATAGAATAAACCTCAGCCTTGATTACTAATTACAAACTGAATATGTGAATCTTTTCATTCAGAGGCATAAAGGTAAGAGTTATGAATCAAATAGAAGGACCAAAATGCTTCTCAGCAAAGTATTTTCTTGGTGAAGTTACTGCAACCTAAGGTCTGATAATCAGCTGTACAGGAACTTTTATCAGTAACCTGAAAGATGATCAATCAGCCTCAGTGACTAATGACACTCAGAAGAGACCAATGTAAAAACTAGCACACCAGATTAATTTACCACAAAGATATTCTCACCATAATCAGAAAACCTGCCCTCTATTCAAGAGTGCTCACTCTTTTTTGGTAGGAGTACTAAACTGGCTGGGTTGAATTAGTGCTTAGTTGAACACAGAATTAAAATAATGTGAGTAGGTCATCTTGTGGGATATATCATGCAGGCCATAAAGAGGCCTGATAAACACTTCTGTATCACAGCAGAGAATACACGTCTGGTGACTGTACTGCTTGTTTCCCAGATTCACCATCTTTCTTAATTCAAAATGTATCTATCTCTTTTTTCTATGGCTCACTGCTTTTTCTTTAGAAGTGTTATCACAAGCTATATATCAACCTGCTGTTCCCATCAGCTTGCAATGTTAAGCATCCTTCTACTGTACCCTGCCTAACTATGAGAAGATAAATTCATTTCTCTATTTTCAGCTTCTTAAACAGTCCTTCTGGCATCCCTATGTACTGGCTATAATTTTAATAGAAACTATAAAAACTAGGGGGATTTTTTTTTGTAGTTTTTGTAGGTACAAAAATTTGATTTTGAATATATTACAAAATTCTAAATGAATACAACTCAATACTACAAAAAATTGTAAATCTGTGGTTCAAAGCAAGTTGCTGAAACTTATAGCTAGCTCATAAAAGAATGTAGGTTGTCTCATATACTTACACAACTATTATAAAAGGAGTCTACATCTGCATAACGCTTTATAAGTTACAAAGTACTTTCCCATCCATTTTAACATCTAATTGTCATAATCACCAAGTATTTAAACTGAAAATCTCCAGGAAAGATACTAATGAAAGAGTGTAAAGGAAATAATCCAGAACTTTAACTTTTTTAAGAGATGAGTTCTCGCTGTGTTAACCAGACTGGCCTCTACCCTCTACCTGGGGGTTCAAGCCAAGTGATCCTCCCACCTCAGCCTCACAAGTAGCTGGGACCTGAGGAGCACACCACAATGTCTGGCTTGAAATTTTAACTTTTAAAGCCATTAAGTTTCCTACTGACAATTTACAGTTGATTTATTAATACACGTATGTTTTTGCTCTGAAATGAAAAAATATGTTAAGAGTATTTGCACATCAGACGTGAATTCCTTCTTTCATAAATTACGCCACGAATTCTCAAGGTTCCTACTGACAATTTACAGTTAATTTATTCATACATACATATTTTTGCTCTGAAATTAGACAATATAAATGTTAAGACTATTTGTACATCAGACATGAATTCCTCCTTTCATAAAATATGCCACAAATTCTTAAGACTGTATATTTTAAAAGTAATATTTATGTGGGTCTTGAGAATTGTTCTAAACTAAATGATAATTGCGCTTATAAAATTATGCAAAATTATAAAACTGATTAGCCTTGGTACACTCAGCGATTCCTTTCTATATATCTTTTAACAACCAAATACTTCTTCAAGTACTTGGTATACTTATGCACAGTGGTACCTTAAAATTTGGTCTACATAAAAATCAGTATTAGTCATCTACATCTTAATGTGAATAAATTTAACTGAATAAATCCACTCTAGGATTTTAAGCCTAATCCCCAATTATGAAATAAGACAACAATCACACTGTAATGGAATTCAGGTATTAAACCTGGTGACAGGCATTTTATGGAGTCCAGGAAATGATATCACCTAAGTACCTGATTATGTTTAAGGTCAGTTCTTATCAAATGAACTGTATCCCACTGAAGTCCATTAGGTACAGTAAGCCAAAAAATGATTATAGAGCACTACAATAACAAAGTTTACATCACAAAGTATCTTTTTCTGTGGTTTAGAAATCTTTTCTAAATGAAAATACAATATGAATATAAACATCAATATTTGAAATAGAAAATCAAAGCATTCTTACCTTACTACATCATCAATATTGTTCCTGTATACGCCTTCAAGTCTTTCTGCAGGAAATCCCATAGCAATAATGTTTGGATAAATATCTGAGTACTTTAGTTAAGGAAAGAAATATCTGAAATATGCAGCAATCAAACTAAAAGTATACATTTTAAAACATTAGCTAGTTATGAAAAGAAAGCTTTCCCCACCATAGTTGGAGTAATAAAAGGTGGTCAATGTATTTATGTATAACCATTTATGTGTAATACTGGTAAAGATAAAAGGTAACTTCCATATTTACAGTATTCAGGTATACAAGAAAAACAGAAAACTCGTGCTTTATAAATCACAGAACTAAAGTACTTTAGGTCAAAAACCAAAACTCAAAACAAAACCCCAAAATCTGCACCTGCCTGAAAAGACAAAGAGTTCAGCTTCTAATTTTTCATGGCTAAAAATTAAGGCAACATGTTGTAGAAAAAAGACACAGTGAAAATCTGGAAGTCAGAATTAAGAGCTGGCTATGTCTCTAACTAGTTGTGTAATTTGGACAAGTCACTTAACCTTTCTAGACCACAATTTCATATTCTACATAATTAGACTCAAAGAGATTACTACTAAGGTTTCTTCCAGCCCTTGCTATCTATGACTTGATAATACTGAACTGAAGTAGAAACTTTATTTATTATTCTTACTTTCAATCAAACTACAGTTGGCCAATGAACAAAACCGGTTTCAGCTGTGTGGGACCACTTGTATGTGGACCTTCTTCTACCTCTGCCACCCATGAGACAGCAAGTCTGACCTTTCCACTCTCTCCTACTCCTCGGCCTACTTAAAGTGAAGGCAGTGAAAATGAAGATCCTCATGATGATCCACTTCCGCTTAATGAACAGTAAGTATATTTTCTCTTCTTTATGATTTTAATATTTTTTCTGTAGCTTATTATACAAATATGCTATCTAACACATACATAAAATATGTATTAATGAACATTATATTATCAGTAAGATTTCCAGTCAACTATAGGCTAAATATTAATAGTTAAGTTTGGGGGGGGGGGGCCAAAAGTTACATGTGAAGTTTCAACTGCACAGGAGTAGGTGCCCATATCCTTTATGTTGTTCAAGGGTCAACTGTCATGGATATTTAGCATGCCTATTATAGTCAATTATGTTACAGACTATAGCTAGCATAAAAACAAACCTCTACACTCAAGAACCATTTATAAACTATAAAAATCATCAACACTCTACACTTTTATGATTCTTACCCACTCATCACAATAGCTCTCATTTTTTGAGCTACATCAACCTAATCTCATGATTTTCTGACAGACCTTTCACACTAGCCCAGCCAATAATCTGCCTAATGCCTCCTTTTAAGATCAACTCCAATAATCTCTGCCCACTCCCTTCCGGACTCATTTATCTTCCAAATAAAATTCAAAGTTGACCTAATCCAATGCCCTTTTCTAGGTCTTTTTCTTTCTGCAGCTTTCACATTATTGAGTTGATTTCAGTAGTATTTTCAATCCAAAAATAATTATCGAGTTACTGAAAGCTATTATTTTAATAGCATAGTTTAAGAAAAGGTTATATGTATACTATATGCTCTATCTATAAGATAACTGTGCTAACTGGAGAGATCTACGGAATATTTTAAGGAAAAAAAACTGCCCAATAGAGTATACAGGGTATATCTTTTGTATAAGGGATGGCAAAAAGAATGTTAACACATATATTTGCTTGAATGTCAACATCCTCAATACACATACGCATGCCTGAGTGATAAATGAGAAACTAATAAAAATGGATGCTTCATAGAGAAAGGGAAGAAAAGCGGAAAAGCATAGCAAGAACAGGTAGCAGCAGGACTCCTGTGATATAAAGAAAAAAAAACTTATAATCTCAAACATTGAACATTGCTAGAAACAAAACTGATTAAATGTCAAATTGGCACTCAGGAGAAAGAGAAAGATTTTGTTACAAGGGCTATTTGGACACTGCACTTTACTACACTTCTTGATAGGAACTATTCTAAACAAAATAAAAACTAGGAAGAAACTTTACATTTCTTTTGGTAGTTTTACCGATTCCAGTAATATCATTATTGATATCCTCAAACTATTTCCTTTTCTTTTCTTTTTTTTTTTAAAATAGAGTCCAGGTCTCATGATGTGGCACAGGCTGGTCTCAAACTCCTGGGCTCAAGCCATCCTCCCACCTCGACCTCCCAAAGTGCCAGGATTACATGCATGAGTCACTACATAAAGCCTCCTCAAACTATTTTATCTTTTTTTTTTCTTCCCCTGAAACAGGGTCTCCCTTTGTCACCCAGGCTAGAGTGTGGTGGCATGATCATGGCTCACTAGAGCCTTGACCTCCTGGGCTCAGGTGATCCTCCCACCTCAGCCTCCTGAGTAGCTGGGAATACAACCACATGCCACAATGCCCAGCTAATTTTTTGTAAAGACAAGGTTTCATCGTGCTGCCCAGGTTGGTCTTGAACTCCAGAGCTCAAGGAATCCACCTGCCTCAACCTCCCAAAGTGCTGGGATTACAGCGTGAGCCACCGCATCAGGACTATTTTCTTTATATTGTAGAAATAAGCAAAGAAGTTATGCTAATGACTTTAAGGTTCATAATAATAAGTGTAAGAAAACAGAGATAATATTGTAAAATCAAGAAATCATGTAAAATACTAAAAATAGCAGTATGAATTCATGTCTGTAAAAATCTGTTTTCTAGGTCTTTTCTCTGAAATGGCCTAAAAGCAACATCACTAGAGCAGTAATAAATATTCCTAGAACACAGATTTTCATCTCTAATATTATAATAAATTAAAAGGTACCAAACTCCTTGGAAAAAGAATTAATGCCAGCTCTGGAGTAGGGAAGGTACAGGTGAGTCTGGGATACCTTTTCATTCCAAGAGAACAAGGAAGGCTTACAGAGATTAACAGCCTATATCAAATGGACATAGGAGGTGGTATAAAGATCCAAATGACTAGCTGTGACAATCTGAGCATCAAAGAAAACATTTAAATGGTAGTATATTAAAACATCCTGAATTAAATAAAAGTCCTTGAGTCTATAAAGACACTCAAAAGAAAAAAGTTAAGGCCAGACATTGTGGGTCACGTCAATAATCCTAGCACTTTGGGAGGCTGAGGTGGGTGGATTCCTTCAGCTCAGGAGTTTGAGACCAGCCTGGGCAATATGGCAAAACCCCATCTCTACAAAACAAAAACAAAAAAAATTGTCTGGCTGTGGTGGTATACACCTTTAGTCCCAGGCTGAGGTGGGAGAATCACCTGAGCCCAGGGAGATTGAGGCTTTGGTGTACCATGATTGCACCACTGCACTCCAGCCTGGGCAACAGAATAAGACCCTATCTCAAAAAAAAAGTTAAAACAACTAAAAACGCCCTTTTCATTTATCACCTTTTGAGGTGGTTAATGGAATAGTTCTTCACTTTGAAAAATGGTAAAGAGAAAGATTTAAGTATTTTGTCTTTCCTATAGACTGTATTTAAAGACAACTAAATAGTCCCATTTCACAAGTTCTATCTTACCAAAAAACATCAATTAATATTGTAAAAGAATAGAATTTAAAGTCTTATTTTGCAAACCCTAATGAAATTACTGATATACTCAAAGATCAACAAATGGTGTTAAACCAACAGGTGAGTGGTTGATGAGAAAATGAACTTTCCTACAGCGTCAAAATACTACTACCCAAAATACTTTCTAATGTCAAGAGATAAATATAATTGAACAATGGGCAGAAAAGACTGTCATGGTCCAATTTCAGTGGCCATCTCCTCATCATGAATCAAGTAAAGATCATGTAACTTCTGATATGCAATACAAAGGCACAGTATCATCTTTGATAGTTAAGGATCTTCAACTCAAATCCACCAAGGATTCAGATATAAATTTTAATTTATAGGAAATACATAGGATAAACAAGTTAATGACACTATGAGACAGCAAACTGGACAAATTCAGAAAATTGGTAGGACATGACCCATTCTCTCTTCAACAAGCCAGTATCTTTAAGAAAAAAAAAAAAGGTAGGAGGTGGGTGAGAGGTGGGGGAAGCGGGAGGATGGGTTGCTGCCCTTAATTTTTAAAGATACAAGGTTCCTAACAGCCAATTTCATAGGTGCAATGCTGACCTGGATTCTGTTTTAGCCAAACCAGCCATAAAGGAATTTTTGAGCTAATTGGAAAAATTTTAATGTGATCCGGGCATTATATAAGATGAAAAGTTACTGAAATGGAAAAGTAGATGTAAATGACTAAAAAAGGCAGGTTTCAAAACAGAATGTACAATGTAATACCATTTGGATAAAAGAATACATATATATATCCATATAGACATATGTAGACAAAAGATTATAAACTGAAGTACTGAAAGTAATATGTAGGTGGCGGCATGTATATTTTTCTCATATTTGCTTGTTTTGTATTTTCTATTTTTGCCACAATGTACCTGTACCGTTTCTGTAACAAATTTTTAAAATTAGATGTTTTATAATTATCTGAGTCTATTTACTAATTGCCATGACAAAATGCTGTCTTGCCCTGTATGACTTAGAAAAAGCTCCGTATGTATTTTTTAATGCCAAATTTCTACCCAAAAATTATACTAATAAAAACATCTAAGATTTAAATGACATTTACTATGTCCCAAGAACATTTTTTGTCTCTTTAGGAACATATAAATTCACCCTCAGCCTCAAAGCATTTTTATTATAAAGATTCTAAAAGAAAACTATTAGGATTATCATTTTAACATCACAAATATTTGCTGTCATCTACTATTCTCACATAAGAAAGCTGTCCCAACTCTTAGCCAATCTCTGACAGTTTTTTAAAAAATTAAGGAAAAGGAATTTAAAAAATAAGAAGAAGAAAGCAGCCCCACTTAAAAATGTAGCTGTTGTTCAATTATCAAAATGTATTGGGATATTATATCCATTCACTAAAAAAAAAAAGAAAGCAGAAGACAGCAGAGGCCTAAAGTGAAATAATCTTTTTTTTTTTTTTTTTTTTTTTTTTTGAGACGGAGTCTTGCTCTGTCGCCCAGGCTGGAGTG